GTGTGCGCGTGAGTGTGTGTGTGCGTGTGTGAGTGTGCGTGTGTGAGTGGACGCGTGAGTGTGTGTGCGCGTGAGTGTGTGTGCGTGAGTGTGTGTGCGCGTGAGTGTGTGTGCGTAAGTGTGTGTGCCTGAGTGTGTGCGTGAGTGTGTGTGCGCGTGAGTGTGTGTGCGCGTGCGTGTGTGTGCGTGAGTGTGTGCGCGTTGTTGGGAGTGTGTGTGCGTGTGTGTGTGCGTGTGTGAGTGTGTGTAAAGTGTGCGGGGCGGTCGTGTCGTGGTTAACGCTCCGCTACAAACCGGGTGACCCGAGATTGATTCCCGCTCACGGCCACCAACACCGCCGTCGATTCTCTGAACCGGTCCTGGGCCTCCCCTAGATCGACTCGGCCTCAAATGAGTACCCCGTTCGGGGAGACAAAGGCGGCCGGGCGTGGGGCTGGCCACCCATCCCCTCGTGTGCTGTGCCGGCCTTCATAGGTGCCGCTATTCGCAAGCAGCAACTTGCCCAAACAGTCTGTTGAGGCTATACCGGGGATCTTTGTCTTTGTGTAAGTGTGAGTGTGTGTGCGGTGTGTAAGTGTGAGTGTGTGTAAGTGTGTGTGCGTGTGTGAGTGTGAGTGCGTGTGAGTGTGTGTGTGCGGTGCGTGAGGGTGTGTAAGTGTGTGTGTGGTGTGTGTAAGTGTGAGTGAGTGTGTGTAAGTGTGAGGGAGTGTGTGTAAGTGTGAGTGTGTGTGGTGTGTGAGTGTGTGTGTAAGTGTGTGTGCGGTGTGTGAGGGTGTGTAAGTGTGAGTGTATGTGTGGTCTGTGAGTGTATGTAAGTGTGAGTGAGTGTGTGTAAGTGTGTGTGGTGTGTGAGTGTGTGTGTAAGTGTGAGTGTGTGTGTGCGGTGTGTAAGTGTGTGTAAGTGTGAGTGTGTGTGTGTGTGCGCTGTGTGAGTGTGTGTAAGTGTGCGCGTGTGTGTAAGTGTGCGTGTGCGTTGTTGGATGTGTGCACAAGTGTGTATGTGGTGTGTGAGTGTGTGTAAGTGTGAGTGTGTGTAAGTGTGAGTGTGTGTGAGTGTGTGTAAGTGTGCGTGTGTAAGTTTGTATGGCTGGAGACAAATTGAGGCTTTTTGCATTTTTCTTCCAAAATTGGTTGTGAGCGAAAATGAATTTAATTTCTGTGCAGTCCAAAACTCAATCAGCAGCAGCAGCAGTTACACGAGGGGGGTTCTGAATGGGACGAGAAGAGGGTTCTGTATGGGATGAGAGGAGGGTTCTGTATGGGATGAGACGAGGGTTCTGTATGGGTTGAGACGAGGGTTCTGTATGGGATGAGACGAGGGTTCTGTATGGGATGAGACGAGGGTTCTGTATGGGATGAGACGTGGGTTCTGTATGGGGTGAGACGGGGGTTCTGTATGGGATGAGACGAGGGTTCTGTATGGGACGAGAAGAGGGTTCTGTATGGGACGAGAAGAGGGTTCTGTATGGGATGAGACGTGGGTTCTGTATGGGATGAGACGTGGGTTCTCTATGGGATGAGACGTGGGTTCTGTATGGGATGAAACGAGGGTTCTCTATGGGATGAGAAGAGGGTTCTGTATGGGATGAGAGGAGGGTTCTGTATGGGATGGGACGAGGGTTCTGTATGGGATGGGAAGAGGGTTCTGTATGGGATGGGACGAGGGTTCTGTATGGGATGAGAAGAGGGTTCTGTATGGGATGAGATGAGAGTTCTGTATGGGATGGGACGAGGGTTCTGTATGGGATGGGACGATGGTTCTGTATGGGATGGGACGAGGGTTCTGTATGGGATGAGACGAGGGTTCTGTATGGGATGAGAGGGGGGTTCTGTATGGGACGAGAGGAGAGTTCTGTATGGGACGAGACGTGGGTTCTGTATGGGATGAGAGGAGGGTTCTGTATGGGATGAGACGAGGGTTCTGTATGGGATGAGACGAGGGTTCTGTATGGGACGAGACGAGGGTTCTGTATGGGATGAGAGTTTTGTATGGGATGAGACGAGGGTTCTGTATGGGTTGAGACGAGGGTTCTGTATGGGATGAGACGAGGGTTCTGTATGGGATGAGACGAGGGTTCTGTATGGGATGAGACGTGGGTTCTGTATGGGGTGAGACGGGGGTTCTGTATGGGACGAGACGAGGGTTCTGTATGGGACGAGAAGAGGGTTCTGTATGGGATGAGACGAGGGTTCTGTATGGGATGAGAGTTCTGTATGGGACGAGACGTGAGTTCTGTATGGGATGAGACGAGGGTTCTGTATGGGACGAGACGAGGGTTCTGTATGGGACGAGAGGAGGGTTCTGTATGGGACGAGGGTTCTGTATGGGACGAGGGTTCTGTATGGGACGAGAGTTCTGTATGGGACGAGAGGAGGGTTCTATATGGGGTGAGGCAGAGAGACGAACACGTGAATTAGGGAACTCGCACGGCCAATCAGGGCGGGTTTGTCGCGTAAACAAAACGTGGCCAATGTAGTTCCGAGTTCAGCGCACACCACCGCTCGTGTGTTGGAGACTGTAACCCACAACAATGTTGACAAATCGAGTATGGTGACGTATCGCCGGTAATAACAACAACAACAACCGACAGCAACAACCAGCCTCATCAGGCAACAGACAGAATGGTTTATTGAGTGTGCCCTGGGGGTGGGCCCTGGGGGTGGGGGCTGGGGGCGGGGTGGGGGCTAGGGGGGGCTTTCATCCAGCAGCGAAACGACCACGGCTCATTGATGATCACGATGCCGCTGAAGATGACGATGAAGATGCCGCTGAAGATGCCGCTGAAGATGCTGCTGATGAAATGAAGCCGGGCACGTGGCCGGGCACGTGGCCGGGCACGTGGCCGGGCACGTGGCCGGGCACGTGGCCGGGCACAACCTGTCGGGCCGCTTGATCGCGGGGACCGCCAGAGACAAAAAAAACCCCAAAAAAGTTGCACGCGGTGAGCATTTTTGTGAGGTCGTGAAGGGGTCGCGGAACGTCGCTCGAGGGCCCCCCCCCTCTCCCCACCCCCCTCCCCCCCTCGGGGTCATCCCCCCTCCCCCCACCCCCTCCTCGCTGAGTGCACCAGCGGCACTTTGGAGCTGAGAATGTCGCCCGCCTCCTCGTCGGTTTGAAAAATAAAAAAATATTTAAACACTTTCTTTAGAACAGTTTATTTAGAACACTTTCTTTAGAACAGTTTCTTTAGAACACTTTCTTTAGAACAATTTAGGATTGCCCTGTGAGCCAAGAAGCTCTCGAATCGGCTTTCATCAACAAAACAGAAAAACTGGAAAATGAAAAACACGACGTTTGCAACAGGTCGCATTAAAAATTATAAATACAATAAATACAGCGATGAAAAAAGTCAACAAATTATTTTACAATATATTAATGATAAATTAAATATTTAACTAAACTGCACGTTAACATTAGATAAACATATTGCATAATAGTGCATGTAGAGGGAGGAATAAGATTCGATAAAATATTGTCAAACGAGGAATATAAACGCCTTTGGTAAAATACTTTTCCTGTGCAAACCACAAATTCGAAGTACCACGAGTAACCATAACAATCACCATGACATTGCACACATTACAACAGCACAGGACTCAAACACAGAATCAAAGTAAATACATAATTAGATGCCCGCCACCCTGATGTCCATCCACTGCAGGATGGAAGTTTCCCCAACACCCCCAAGTCGTGCCAGTGTAATGGGTAGTGTCATGGGTAGTGTCAGGGGTAGTGTCAGGGGTAGTGTCAGGGTTAGTGTTAGTGTCAGGGTTAGTGTCAGGGGTAGTGTCATGGGTAGTGTCAGGGGTAGTGTCAGGGGTTGGGTGTTCGTGTTAGGATGGGGTTTACCCCACCTGTTCCATCTGCACGGGGATCGAGTGTTGCTTCCTCGCCCACCACGCGTGAGTGTCCTCCCACACGTGTTCACTCATTCCAAACTGGCCAAACATTCCCAGTTACGTGGCTACAGAGCTCCCCATCACAGTTATTATTTTCCATCACCGGTGCAGCTGTCCAACAGTAATTACATTCACACCCCCCCAACCCCCCCCCCCCCGTTCGCAAAATGACGGAAACCAAGAATAGGTTTAACCCTTTATGGCAAATAAATTGAGAGCTGCGTTAAGATGTGCAAACACAACAAATGGAAACCTTTTTGCCAGGCATCAAGTACCGCATTAGCCAGGCACGGTACATGTGGCGGAACACGCAAACGAACTTGGCACCGATAATCTTCTTGCATTGCCTTTGAAACCGATTGGCCTACACCAGAGACAGCGGCCTTCTGCGTAGCCTAGTCTCACCACCGGTGTCAGACCCAGAGAACAGCGCCAAAAAAGCGACCAGTACAAAGGCAATGCCACGCGCATCAGAACATTTCTTGCTCAGCACGAACCATAAAGGTCCCAGAGATGTCACAGGTGTCCAGTCGCTGTTTGGACATCTCAGCCCCGTCTGTTTAGTTGCCAGAAAGGGTAAAACCCACATCCTTATTTTTCATCATTTTGAATGACTGTCAAAAAAAAGGGTCCCATATAATCATTAGGTTCCCCCTATAACCATTAGGATCCCATATAACCGTTAGATTTCTATGCAATCTTTAGGTTCCCATATAACCATTAGGTCCCCCATGTTACCATTACGTTCCCATATAATCATTGTATGGTTATGGTTGCTATTGTTGTTGTGTTGTTATTATTGTGTTGCTGTTATGGTTGAGATGTTGTTTCTTGTCATTGTTGTGTTGCTATTGCTGTTGATATTTTTGTTATTGTTGTCGTGTTGTTATTGTTGTGTTGTTATTGTCATTGTTGTGTTGCTATTGCTGTTGTTATCTTTTGTTATTGTTGTCGTGTTGTTATTGTTGTTGTATTGCTATTGCTATTTATTATATTGTCGTGTTGTTGCTATTGTTGTTGTTGTATTGTTGTTGTTGTCGCGCTGCGCCGAGTGCCCCCCACCAAGCCTTTGGTCCTTGACTCGTCCGCTCTCTCCGCACGTGGTTTGAGCGACTCAGCATGCTCATTATCCTGCTCAACTGCGTCACCCTCGGCATGTTCCAGCCCTGCGAGGACATCGACTGCTCCAGCGACCGCTGCAAGATCCTCAAGGTGGGTGGCCGGACTCGCCGCTGACCCCCACCCCTGATGCCCAGAGCCTTCCTTGCCCATAGCCTCTGAGCGATAACGGTGTGGTGAAGACACAGTGTGTAGAAACATCGTTAGCTCTCTGTCTCTCTCCCTCTCTCGATCTCACTCTCTATTTCTGACTCTATCTCTCTTTGTCTCTCTGTATCTCTTTCCCTCTGTCTCTCTGTCTTCCTCGCTGTCTCTCTCTGTGTGTGTCTCTCTCCCTGTCTCACTCTGGCTCTCCCTCTCTCTGTCTCTCTGTCTCACTCTCTATCTGACTATCTCTCCCTCTGTCTCACTCTGTGTCTCTCTAACTCTCTCTCCAACTCCCGCCCCCCCCCCCCCACCCCCACCGGACATCCCAGTATTATTACAACATAAACGAACTTACAGACAATGCTTCTTAAAGTCCCACAATGAACAGATGCACCCGTCTTCACTGGGACACTAATTGTGCCTCCATTTTGTACTCTGTGTAATGGCTGACACCCCTGCCTCGTGACACCCTCCCCCCTCTCACCAGAGGTTCGATGACTTCATCTTCGCCTTCTTCGCGGTGGAGATGGTCATCAAGATGCTGGCGCTCGGCGTGTTCGGGAAGCAGTGCTACCTGGGTGATACGTGGAACCGCCTAGACCTCTTCATCGTCGTGGCCGGGTGAGAGGCCTTGCCTGGCTAGGCCCCGCGGGTCCATCGTGGCCGTGTCGGAGACGTTGTGAATCCTGGGATCACAATGGTGATACTGGAGACATTGTGAATCCTGGGACCGTGATGGTGATGCTGGGGACACTGTGAATTCTGGGATCACAATGGTGATACTGGGGACACTGGGATCCTGGGATCACAATGGTGATTCTGGGGACACTGTGATCCTGGGATCACAATGGTGATACTGGAGACATTGTGATCCTGGGATCACAATGGTGATACTGGGGACACTGGGATCCTGGGATCACAATGGTGATACTGGTGACACTGTGATCCTGGGATCACAATGGTGATACTGGTGACACTGTGATCCTGGGATCACAATGGTGATGCTGGGGACACTGTGATCCTGGGATCACAATGGTGATACTGGGGACACTGGGATCCTGGGATCACAATGGTGATACTGGGGACACTGGGATCCTGGGATCACAATGGTGATACTGGGGACACTGTGATCCTGGGATCACAATGGTGATACTGGGGACACTGTGATCCTGGTATCACAATGGTGATACTGGAGACATTGTGATCCTGGGATCACAATGGTGATACTGGAGACACTGGGATCCTGGGATCGCCAGAAAGCCACCATGCGGAGTCCTCCCCGCCCCCGCCCCCCCCGGGGGACTCCTGGCAGGAGCTTGATGAGCACGCCAGCAGAGTTCCTCTCTCCCCGTGCTCACTGATCCTGCGTCGCCATTCCCTTCGTCTCCCTCCCCTCGCCCCCTCGCTCCGTGAAGCGCAACACGGGGACGAGTCGTCGAGCCGCGATTCGTGTTCACGCGTCCACGGCGCTCAACACTCACACAACGACACCCCGCCGCGTAGCAGTGCACACGCTGGTAGGGGGAAGGTGCTGTCAGCGAGAGCGGCACCAATGAAGGCCGGCACGGCACACGGAGGGGGTGGTGGTGGTGCGGCCCAACCACCGCACGCACCCCCGTCCGCCTTTGTATCCCCGGTGCTGCGTATACGTACACACCGCGTTCATAGTTTCACAGTTCCATTTATTTGGTACAGCCCTGTGAGTCTTTCGGCTCTTGAATCGGGTGCAACCGCAACAAACAAAAAAACAAAAACATGAACAAGAAAACATCTTAAAGTGACTTTGTGACTGTTCAAACAGAAAATCCATGAAAAAAGCAGCAAAATATTCCTGAAAAAAGCACCGCACACCAACGCTGTGTGCAAAAATCCCAGTGGGATGCAAGTCAAACAACAACAACAAGACAACTTAGATTAAGGCCATCAGTCTAACTCCGTACTACAATAAACAAAAAAACATGGCCAAAACAAAAAACGTTTTCGAAATCACCAAAATAAAGCCATAAATGCAACGTAACAGTGATCACAGGGACTGTGACCGAATTTTTACAATAAACTACATAAATAACATGTAACACCAAACCCTAGAGCCATAGTTGGCTGCATAAGTCACTCCACAACAACAGGAGCATCAGTCTGAGTATCACATTTTTCAATGCACCTTTAAGATCAGAACACCAAATCAAAATACAGTTAATATTTTGCAGCGGTCATCCGGAGCGAAACATTGTATTTTATTACAGCCCACTGAATAGCAGTGGCAGCTAGGGGTGTACAACTCCTCTAGAGCAGTTTTGAGAGTAGTGCTTGGATAACTGTCTTAGGTAGGTGCTCGCAAACGGCCGCAAGTCCTATGCAGGCTATATGGGGGATCTTTGTCTTTGTGTGTGGGGAGCGGTGGTGCAGTGGTCAGCGCTCCGCACTACGAACCCGGCCATCCCGAGTTCGATTTCCAGCTCACGGCCAACGCCGGTGGCGATCATCTGAACCGGTCGCGGTCCCCCCCCCCCCCTCCCCCCCCCCGAGGTCGACTCAGCCTCAAATGATCACCCGGTGTGCTGCGTAGCAAACATCGCCGCTTGGGAGACAAAGGCGGCCGGGCGCTTCATCGGCGGTGCTGCTACCCGCTCGCAGCCAGCGCTTGAACCTTGTGGTGGGACCCAGGGGTTCCCAATAAAGCCCCCCGGCTCTCGCATCAACTGCGTTGCGACGTCAGTTTATGTCTGTCGAAGGCGAACGACACAGCGATCGATTCCTCTCGACGAGCTCGACACGATGCGTGAATCAAAGTTTTCAAAGTTTTATCTGTGACTACGGCAATTTTGGCAATGACGGGTGCTCGGTGAAGACCGAGAGAGGATCGATTTGTTGTGGGTCGCGGCGTTTGTTTGTTTTTTAAATAAATCACGATTTCGAATTCCGTTTATTCGGGACCGCCGGGGGTTCCGCCGTGAGGTTCACAGCAGACTGTAGCAGGCTACAACGTGGTGTGCGCACCTTTGTCTTTGCGCTCGTGCGCAGGATGTTGGAGTACTCCCTGGACATGCAGAACGTGAGCCTGTCCGCGATCCGGACGGTGCGTGTGCTTAGGCCGCTACGCGCCATCAACCGCGTCCCCAGTGAGTAGCAGCAACACCCACACACACATCCACACACCCCACACACACACATCCACACACCCCGCACACACACACACACACCCCGCACACACACACACACCCCGCACACACACACCCTGCACACACACACCCTGCACACACACACACCCCGCACACACACATACACACCCCGCACACACACACACCCTGCACACACACACCCCGCACACACACACACCCCGCACACACACATATTCACCGCACACACACACCCCACGCACACACACACACCCTGCACACACACACACACACACCCCGCGCACACACACCCCACACACATACACACACCCTGCACACACACACACACCCCGCACACACACACCCTGCACACACACACACACCCCGCACACACACATACACACCGCACACACACACCGCACACACACATACACACCCTGCAAACACACATACACACCCCGCAAACACACATACACACCCCGCACACACACATACACACCCCACAGACACACACACACCCCGCACACACACATACACACCCCGCACACACATACACTCCCCGCACACACACACACACCCGCACACACACATACACACCCCGCACACACACACACACACCGCACACACACATACACACCCCACACACTCACACACACTCCGCACACACATACACACCGCACACACACACACCGCACACACACATACATACCCCGCACACACACATACACACCCCGCACACACACATACACACCCCGCACACACACACACTGCACACACACATACGCACCCGCACACACACATACACCGCACACACACACACACACCGCACACACACACTGCACACACACATACACACCCCGCACACACACATACGCACCCGCACACACACATACACACCCCGCACACACACCCCTCCACCCACACACCCCTCGGCTGTCACGGGGAGCCCGATAGAAATAAATACTCTATATATTATATATATAAAGGCGCGGCCCCGCAGTTCTCTGTCTGGCAGTGCGGTGAGTGGATTCGCTTCCATCTGTATGGCGAATATTGATTTGATTATGTAATGCCTAGTTTGGGGCTACGCGAAGGACCGTGTGTGTACGTGTGTGAGTGTGTATGTGTGTGTGTACGTATGTTTGGACGTGTGTGAGTGTGTACGTGTGTGTGAGTGTGTGTATGTGTGTACGTGTGTGTGTGTACGTGTGTGTGTGTACGTGTGTGAGTGTGTGTGTGTACGTGTGTGAGTGTGTGTACGTGTGTGAGTGTGTGTGTGTACGTGTGTACACTCACGTACACACACACACTGTGCTACGAACCCGGCTGCCCGAGGTCGATTCCCGCTTACGGCCAACACCAGTGACGATTATATCTGAACCGGTCCTAGGGGAGGCCTAGAATGAGTACCTCGTGCGGTGTGTAAACATCGCCACTAGGGGAGACAAAGGCGGCCGGGCGTGGTGCTGGCCACCCCCCTCCTCGTGTGTCGTGCCGGCCAAAAGTTCGATGGACGGTCAAAAATTCGATAGCTGGCCAAAGATTCGATGGCCGGTCAAAGGTTCGATGGCCGGTCAAAGGTTCGATGACCGGTCAAAGGTTCGATGGCTAACCAAAAGGCCACGTGGGGTGACCTTTGTCTTTGCCTGTGCAGGCATGCGCATCCTGGTGACGCTGCTGCTCGACACACTGCCCATGCTGGGCAACGTGCTGCTCCTCTGCTTCTTCGTCTTCTTCATCTTCGGCATCATCGGCGTGCAGCTGTGGGCCGGCCTGCTACGCAACCGCTGCTTCCTGGCCAACAACTTCACCGAGTGAGTCAATGCGCACGCAGCGGCGGCGGCAAACAACGACGCACGACAACCAACAACAAACAAACAACCACAAAACACACAACCACAGCAACACACAAACAACCACAGCAACAACAACAACAACAACACACAAACAACCACAACCACACACAAACAACCACAACAACACACAAACAACCACAGCAACAAACAAACAACCACAACAACAACCACAACAACACACAAACAACCACAGCAACAACAACAACAACACACAAGCAACCACAACCACACACAAACAACCACAACAACACACAAACAACCACAGCAACACACAAACAACCACAACAACACACAAACAACCACACACAAACAACCACAACAACACACAAACAACCACAACACACAAACAACCACAACAACACACAACCACAACAACACACAAACAACCACAACAACAAACAACCACAACAAAACACAAACAACAACAACAACACACAAACAACCACAACAACACACAAACAACCACAACAACACACAAACAACCACACACAAACAACCACAACAACACACAAACAACAACACACAAACAACCACAACAACACACAAACAACCACAGCAACACACAAACAACCACAACAACACACAAACAACCACAACAACACACAAACAACCACACACAAACAACCACACACAAACAACCACAACAACACACAAACAACCACACACAAACAACCACAACAACACACAAACAACAACACACAAACAACCACAACAACACACAAACAACCACAGCAACACACAAACAACCACAACAACACACAAACAACCACACACAAACAACCACAACTACACACAAACAACCACACACAAACAACCACAACAACACACAAACAACAACACACAAACAACCACAACAACACACAAACAACCACAGCAACAAACAAACAACCACAACAACAACCACAACAACACACAAACAACCACAGCAACAACAACAACAACACACAAGCAACCACAACCACACACAAACAACCACAACAACACACAAACAACCACAGCAACACACAAACAACCACAACAACACACAAACAACCACACACAAACAACCACAAAAACACACAAACAACCACAACACACAAACAACCACAACAACACACAACCACAACAACACACAAACAACCACAACAACAAACAACCACAACAAAACACAAACAACCACAACAACAACAACACACAAACAACCACAACAACACACAAACAACCACAACAACACACAAACAACCACACACAAACAACCACAACAACACACAAACAACAACACACAAACAACCACAACAACACACAAACAACCACAGCAACACACAAACAACCACAACAACACACAAACAACCACAACAACACACAACCACAACAACACACAAACAACAACACACAAACAACCACAACAACACACAAACAACCACACACAAACAACCACAACAACACACAAACAACAACACACAAACAACCACACACAAACAACCACAGCAACACACAAACAACCACAACAACACACAAACAACCACAACAACACACAAACAACCACACACAAACAACCACACACAAACAACCACAACAACACACAAACAACCACACACAAACAACCACAACTACACACAAACAACCACAACAACACACAAACAACCACAACAACACACAAACAACCACAATAACACACAAACAACAACAACAACAAACAACAACAGTCCCAGACCTCACCACGAGAACACCCAACAGTAGATCCTCAACAATATTGCCCAGGACCACTTTAAATATTCGCTACAGTGAGTGGGAAATTTGCACTTGGGGTCGGTGGGTTCTCAGTACCGTGCGCCAACTACTGCGCCACCACTCCCCCTCCTAAGAAGACAACAAAGACTCCCCGTGTAACCTGCAGATACTGTTGGGGCAAGTGCTGTTAGGGAGCAGCGCCTATGAAGGCCGGCACGGCACACGAGGGAAGTGGGTGACCAGCACCACGCCCGGCCGCCTTTGTCTCCCCCAGTGGCGATGTTTACACACCACACCAGGAACTCATTTGAGGCCGAGTCGACCTAGGGAAAGCCCAGGACTACACTACTACAAAGACACGCACACAGCCACAACAACAACAACAACCGCCATTCGCCACTAAGTGGCGGTGATGTCACCACGACGCTTGTGCCAGGCCATGTGCACCCTGAGGCCACGTGAAGTGTCGAACGCCCGCTGGCAGGAGGTCACGGGGCAGACCCAGGTGCCACGGGTCGACTGACTGAGATGACTGGCTGATGCATCACCTGTGCCCCCTACTGTGCCAACCTGCTGTGCTTTAGCCACCCGGCGCTCCGCTCGTTGTTGTGAGCGTCGCTCCTCCGCCCTCCACAGTCACACAGACACACGCACGTGCATAGACAACAACATCCACCGTTCGCCACTCGGTAGCGATGACATCACCACACAGCGCTTGTGCCAGGCTAGGTGCACTTTGAGGCCAGCGCGTGAAAGTGTGGAAGGCTCGTTGTTGGCAGGAGAAAGCTCACTGGACGGACCCAGGTGTACGGATTGACTGATTGATATGCCTGGCCAGGTGCAGGAGGTCACGAGACAGATTCGGGTGATATGGATTGACTGATTGAGCTGATGGTACCACCTGTGCCCCCCAGTGTGGCAGCTTGCCGTGTTTTTAGCCAGGTGGCTAAGATGTCCTTCACGAGGCTCCCCCACGACACGCAAATACAATCACTCCTCGTATAGCCATTAACGGGCTGTAGGGGCGAGTGCTGTTAGCAAGCACCTGTGAAGGCCGGCACGGCACACGAGGGGGTGGGTGGCCAACACCATGCCCGGCCGCCTTTGTCTCCCTAGTGGCGATGGTCATACGTCACACCAGGTACTCATTTGAGGCTGAGTCGACCTAGGGGAGGCCCAGGACCGGTTCAGATAATCGTCACACATACACACAAACACATACAGACGCACATACACATACGCACGTTTTCGTTTTTGATTCTCACTCCTTAGATGTCCCCCAGATTCCACGGACACTTCATTTTTCTTGAAGTGACATCACAACCCCAGAGAACTGTCACATCTAACGAGATGTTTTATTTAATACATTTTTCACACACACACGTGCGCGTGTGTGTGTACCGCGCGTGTAACGGGGAGCGTGCAAATTGATTTTTGTCACTCCAGCGGCAGGGCACCTTAATTTATTTATTTATCCACCCTCTTCCCGCGCCTCCTGGCCGCCTCCTCCTCCTTCTGCTCCCCCACGCGCCGCATGCTCGCGCGGATACAAAAAAAATACACGCACAAAACGTGAGAAACGCGCTCCGTGATATTGGGCGAGCGGAGGTGTCTCGCTCGGGTCCCGTTTGCCCTACGTCCGCGACGCGCGGCGCGGACGCCTCTCGGCGCCAACCCCGCCGTCGACTAGGGGAGGCTCCTTCTTGTCGCAATCGCTGCGCTCGTGCAGGAGAGCGCCTCCTCTTAACCACGGTAAATCGGTGCCCCTATGCCCGGTCGTCGAGCTCACGAACGGATTTCGCCGATTGGTCGAGGCCCCGGTCAAAACGCTTTGGGACTCGCCGATTGGTCGAAATTGGCGGTCGCGTACCTGTCATTAACAGGGGAATGGTCGGTAAGCGAACCACATTGGGCTCTATGGAGGCACTACAGTACACTATACACTACACTATACACTACTATACTACACACTACACTGCTACACACTACACTACTACACACTACACTACTACACACTACACTACTATACACTACACTACTATACACTACTATACACTACACTATACACTACACTATACACTACACTACTATACACTACACTATACACTACACTACTATACACTACACTATACACTACATATTGGGCTCTATGAAGGCCCGTCGTTAAACAATTAGTCGTTAACAGGGGTGGTCGTTAAGAAGGGTTCTACTCTACGCTACCAAACACTACAATATACACTACTATACACCCCACTATACACTACACTACTATACACTACGCTATTATACACTATGCTACTAGACACTACACTACTATACACTACACTACCTTACACTACTATACACTACACTACTATACACTACACATTGGACTCTATGGAGTTCCGTTGTTAAGCGATTAGTCGTTAACAGGGATGCTCTTTAAGGGGGGTTAAACTGTACTGAAGGAATCCGATAAGCTGTTAAGCCATTTATTTATTAATTACAGATGTCCGGTAGGGGCACAGGGGTCAGAAAGTTCAGAATCTGAATATTTATTTAGACTGCAGGAGGAATCCGACGAGCTATGAAGCTCTTTACACAGACGTCCGGTCGGGGCACGGAATCAGGACGCTACATCAACAAACAGTTACAAAAACACGATAGTAGTGCAAAGTACAAGAAAGGTAAAACTAAACCATCCCCATCCTACCAGACAAAGCACACTGAGGTATTAACTTATTATTCTGAAATGACTGGCCACATAATGACAGCTCAACAAAGCGGCCCATCATTTGAACATTTATAGCAGCCAAAATAATAAAAAATAATCTTAATACATGTTTCTAAACGTGGAGGGATAAGCAATCCAAATCACACGATAGAAGTGCAAAGTATAGGAATGGTAAATTAAGCAAATTGCACCCCCCCAAAAAAACTATTTTTATTTTACAATGGAAAGCCAACCAAGGTGCATCAGCTTATTTGTCAGAAGCAAGCCGGCCATCACAAATTATATCCCAACGAAGTGGCGCATCATGTGGAAACTTATAGCGTACAAATAAGTAAAGTAATCTAAACGCAAGTGTTAAGTTGCGTACGGGCAAGCGCTCGTTTAAAGAGCCTGTCCCTGCCACGTGACGTATGCCACCCTCTTCCGGGTGGAGCGACAACACGAGTAAATTGTTCAGGTGGTGATTGATGCAAGCGCCGACTCAGGCAACAAATGATCTCCTTGGGTCGCTTCACGGGGAGGAGAACGAAACGAAACCAACCCGGCTAGTCGCCTACAAGTCCAAGATGGCTACCTTTTTTTTGGTCACGAAATGTTCATTTCGTATACCTTTTGAGCGGAAACTTTTTAAGTTTCAGTGATCCCAGAGTCTATGTGTATGCTTGTGATCCGTTTTTATGAATCAGTCTAAACAAAACCCATGCACACGATTCTTAAAGAATAAACAAAATCCAGATGGCCTCCATTTAATTACAATGATATTTCATTTGCAATTGCACGTCAAAAGAGCCATCCATGTCGCTGTGTTTACACCAGTATCTATGCACCAATATCTATACACCAATATCTATACACCAATATCTATACACCAATAACTATACACCAATAATATCTATACACCAATATCTATACACCAATATCTATACACCAATAACTATACACCGATAATATCTATACACCAATATCTATACACCAATATCTATACACCAATAACTATACACCAATATCTATGCACCAATAACTATACACCAATATCTATACACCAATAACTATACACCAATATCTATACACCAATAACTATACACCAATATCTATGCACCAATAACTATACACCAATATCTATACACCAATAACTATACACCAATATCTAAACACCAATAACTATACACCAATATCTATGCACCAATAACTATACACCAGGATCTATACACCAGGATCTATACACCAATATCTATACACCAATAACTATACACCAATATCTATACACCAATATCTATACACCAATATCTATACACCAATAACTATACACCAATATCTACACACCAATAACTATACACGAGGATCTATACACCAATATCTATACACCAATATCTATTCACCAATAACTAGACGCCAGGATCTATACACCAATATCTATGCACCAGTGTGGCCTACAAAACCAGGTTAACCACAACAAACCCAATTACCCACGAGCCCTCACTTTGTGTCTCTGCACCAGCAGAGCCGGGTGCAGCTTAGACCCAAGCTTAGGCCCAGAGTTTGACCGGTGCGGCAAAGGTTGTGCACAGCAGGCGCCTGCCATCTTCCCCGCTTCTCCCTAAGTCAGTCTCGCGTCGCCGTGGAGACGTGGCCGTGAGTGATTGCAATCGCAGCGCCTGGCAACTGCACCGCACGCAACTGCGGTTGCATTGCGAATGCCGTTGTGAGGCGCATTGCCCTATCACTCTCCCTATCTCGCATCTCCATCTCTCCCGCTCTCTGCATATTTACAAATCCCTGGTCTCCAGCTCTCCCACTCTCTCTCCATCTCTCTCTCTCTCTCCATCTCTATCTCTCTCTCTCTCTATTTGCACTCCTATCGTGTTCTTGTATTGTTTGTTCTTGTAACGTTCTGACCCCATGCCCCGACTGGGCATTTGTGAAAAAACGAGCTTCATAGCTCATCGGATTCCTCTTCCAGTATAAATAAACATTCTGAATCTGATTCTGTCTCTATTTTGTTTCTCTCCATCTCCCTTTCCCTCCCTCCCATCCCTCCCGTCCCACCCTCCCACCTACCTCCTTCCCATCCCTTCCTCCCTCCCAACCTCTATCTCCCATCCATCCCTCCCATCGCTCCCTCCCATCCCTCCCACCCTCCCTGCCTAACTCCATTCCCTCCCCTCCCATCTCTCCCCTGCGCTCCCTCCCATTCCTCCCCTGCGCTCCCAGGATGTTCAACATGACCTACGACCCGTACTTCATCCCGGACGACGGGGACGAGTCGCCCTTCCTCTGCTCCCTCAACTCCGACAACGGCATGCAGCGCTGCGCCGACATCGAGCCGAGCCTCTCCCCGGACGGCGCCGTCTGCTCGCTGCCGGCGCTCCTCTTCCTGCAGCAGCAGCAGCAGCAGCGGCGGCAGCGCGACGGGGAAGCGGCCGGGGCAGCGGCCGCGATGGAGCAAGGCGGACAGCGGCATCGCAACAACAACCACCACCACCACCCGTCGCACCACGGCCACTTCCACAACTACGACGGCGGAGGGGCGGACGGGATGCAGGAGGCGTTCCGGGACCTGCCGCGCACCAACACCTGCGTCAACTGGAACCAGTTCTATTCACGGTGCGGCCCCGCGCAGCGAAACCCTTTCCGCGGCGCCATCAACTTCGACAACATCGGATACGCCTGGATCGCCATCTTCCAGGTGTGACGCATGGCGGAGGCGGGGGTGAGGCGGAGACCGCATCTCAGGGTCTTGAGACTCGGCTCCAGGAGACTGGGTCAGATGCACCAGCTGCGCTCCCCCCACCGTACCAACTTGCTGTTTAAGCCACCCAATGCTCCGCTCGTTGTTGTGAGCGCCGCTCCGTTGTTTTCGGAGGGCGACTGCCTCCAACTTAACCAGCAGCGTCCTTCACGAGCCTCCTCCACAGATGCCAATCTTGACACCACTGATTTCAGTCATCAGCCAGTTCGATCAGCTGCTCCACATCCTTCTGTACTACATGGGCCCATCTCTTCTCTATCCCCTACCATGCCCATGTAGCCCCCTCGATCCAGCCAAACAGAAGCTGCTTGGGCATGCGGTGGCTGATCATGCAGGGCTGCATGACCCAGCCGACGCAGCCTTGCCTGCTCGAGGTGCTCACTGATGATGGGACTGTGTCCAGATTATGATCCTAAACTGTGTCCAGGATCACAATGCACATCCACGTATGCAAAAGACAAAGACACAGACATGCAGATACTCACGCATTCACACACCCTGCTGATGCATTCCCAGGCTTAAGACACAAGCACGTGCGTGTACGTGTGTGTGTGTACGTGTGTGTTTGTGTGTGTGTATGTGTGTGTGTGTACGTGTGTGTGTACGTGTGTGTGCGTACGTGTGTGTATGTACGTGTGCGCTACGAACCCGGCGACCCGAGTTCGATTCCCGCTCACGGCCAAAATCAGTGACGATTATCTGAACCGGTCTTGAGGCTCCCCTAGGTCGACTCAGCCTCAAACGAGCACCTGGTGCGGTGTGTAGTAAACATCGCCACTGGGGGGAGACAAATGCGGTCGGACGTGGTGCTGCCCACCTATCCCCTCGTGTGCCGTGCCGGCCTTCATAGGCACTCGCCCCAACAGTCTGTTAAGGCCACGCGTGTGCACCTTAACAACGAGCCTTGGCGGCGCTGGGGAGACAAAGGCGGCCGGGCATGGGCCTTCGGCCACGAGCACCCGCCGGCGGCCTCAATCGGAGCCGCGTGCCGGGCCCTCCGCCGGGCGCTCGCCACCCGGCGGAGGACGGCGCCGCGACCTTTTTTCCGTTCCGCCCACCCTCCTGGCATCGGCTCCGGGCGCCCATCGATCCTCTCGCCCCCGCCTTTAATCGCCCCGCGGGAATTCCTCGCGCCTCTGCGCGGCTCCCATCGGCACCGTAGCTCTTGTCATGATGACGATCGTCGTCGTCATCGTCGTCGTCGTCATCTCACCGCGTTAGTCCGTCTCGGTAGGCGCGGCAGCCCCTCGGGGGGGGGGGGGGGGGGGGCATTTCTCTCTGCGAGCGGGGGAGGGGGTTTGTTCTCATACGCGGCGCATTGGGAGGGCTCTGCGCTAAGCCGCTTTGTCGAGCCGGGAGAGAGGGACGTGGCGGCGCGGGAGAGAGAGATACGGCGACGCGTGCGAGCGTCACGACGCGCGCTGGGGGAGACAAAGGCGGCCGGGCGTGGTTGCCGGCCGCCACCCACCCCCTCGTGTGCCACAGTGCCCGGTAGCCTTCAGAGGACGCTGCTACTCGCTAACAGCGCTCGCCCCAACAGTCTGTTACAGGCTACGCGGGGGATCTTTGTCTCTGCGTGTTCACGCGCGTGGGTGAGTTAATGTGGTCGGCCCTGCTGCTGACCAGCCCCCCCCCCCCCCGTTCCTTGGGCGTCATCATAATCTTTATTTATCCCGGAGAAATCCGATGAGCCATGAAGCTCTTTTTCACCGATATCCAGCAGCAGATGGCATAGGCGCTGCTCCCCTAACAGCACGTGCTCCAACAGCCCGTTTAAGCCACGCGGGCGATCTCTGTCTTGTCTGTCTGTGCGGGGAGTGGTGGTGCAGCGGTTAGCACTTCAAAACCCGGCGAGCCCAGGCTCGGTTACCGATCGCGGCCACCACCACCGGCCACGATTATCTGAACCGGCCCTGGGCCTCCCCTAGGTCGACTCAGCCTCGAATGAGTACCCGATGCGCTGCTCGCTAACGGCACTTGCCCCAACAATGTTGTTAAGCCTTGAGCAGGGGATCTTTGCCTTGTTTCTGTGCATAAACGATGAGATGGTGTTCAAGTTAATTTACATCTGACAATATGAAATAATATCTGAAACCACCACAGGCTCCCTCTTCTGGAATTGTATTTGGCCTCCTCTTCCACACCAGCCAGACATTTTGGAAGAAGAGGTGGGAGTACCCACACTTTACCCCACCGCACGCTTAGTTTTTATTACGTGGGGCGGTGGGTGGGGTGAGTGGGTGAGTGGTGGGGTGAGTGGTGGGGTGAGCTGGGTGAGTGGGGTGAGTGGTGGGGTGAGCTGGGTGAGTGGGGTGGGGTGGGATGGGGTGGGCTGGGTGAGTGAGGAGAGTGGAGTGGGGTGGGTGAGTGGGGTGGGTTAGTGGGGTGAGTGGGGTGGGTGAGTGGGGTGAGTGGGGTGGGTGAGTGGGGTGGGTGAGTGGGGTGGGTGAGTGGGGTGAGTGAGTGGGGTGGGTGAGTGGGGTGAGTGAGTGGGGTGAGTGAGTGGGGTGGGTGAGTGGGGTGAGTGAGTGGGGTGGGTGAGTGGGGTGAGTGAGTGGGGTGGGTGAGTGGGGTGAGTGAGTGGGGTGGGTGAGTGGGGTGGGTGAGTGGGGTGAGTGGGGTGGGTGAGTGGGGTGGGTGAGTGGGGTGAGTGAGTGGGGTGAGTGAGTGGGGTGGATGAGTGGGGTGGGTGAGTGGGGTGGGTGAGTGGGGTGAGTGAGTGGGGTGGGTGAGTGGGGTGAGTGAGTGGGGTGGGTGAGTGGGGTGGGTGAGTGGGGTGAGTGGGGTGGGTGAGTGGGGTGAGTGGGGTGAGTGAGTGGGGTGGGTGAGTGGGGTGAGTGAGTGGGGTGAGTGAGTGGGGTGGGTGAGTGGGGTGGGTGAGTGGGGTGAGTGAGTGGGGTGGGTGAGTGTGGTGAGTGGGGTGAGTGAGTGGGGTGGGTGAGTGGGGTGAGTGAGTGGGGTGGGTGAGTGGGGTGGGTGAGTGGGGTGAGTGGGGTGGGTGAGTGGGGTGGGTGAGTGGGGTGAGTGAGTGGGGTGAGTGAGTGGGGTAGATGAGTGGGGTGGGTGAGTGGGGTGGGTGAGTGGGGTGAGTGGGGTGAGTGAGTGGGGTGGGTGAGTGGGGTGAGTGAGTGGGGTGGGTGAGTGGGGTGGGTGAGTGGGGTGAGTGGGGTGGGTGAGTGGGGTGAGTGGGGTGAGTGAGTGGGGTGAGTGAGTGGGGTGGGTGAGTGGGGTGAGTGAGTGGGGTGAGTGAGTGGGGTGGGTGAGTGGGGTGGGTGAGTGGGGTGGGTGAGTGGTGTGGGTGAGTGGGTTGAGCGATGTGAGAAACCTGCTGCACCACTGTCTCAACCGCCGCGCCACCAGGAGATGGAATCGCACCGATGACCTCTGGATCGCCAGTCCTGCTGACCGTTAACACTGCAGTGGTGACAGCGAGCGTGGAGAACACGAATACATAAATAAATCAGGGTCTGAGATTGCATTGAAAATAGCGACAGCTTTATCACTGAATAGATTATACGCGCGAGTGTGACTTAGCGTGCCACTCAAAATTCAAGTTGGTTATTTTCAAGGTCACACAGCCTGGTTTTATTCGTGCGCTGTTCAACTCAGGCGACTGCGAGTTGAGAGGCGATGCCGCGCGATATTTATCGGCCTCTCAACGGAGTCTGACAACGGATCGCGGGCAAGGCATACAGAGTTGCAGAGTAGAGTTAGTGGATGAGTGGGTGGGTAGGTGGGTGGGTAGGTGGGTGGGTAGGTGAGTCATTGAGTGAGTGGGTAGGTGAGTCATTGAATGAGTGGGTAGGTGAGTGGGTAGGTGAGTCATTGAGTGAATGGGTAGGTGAGTCATTGAGTGAGTGGGTAGGTGAGTCATTGAGTGAGTGGGTAGGTGAGTCATTGAGTGAGTGGGTAGGTGAGTGGGTAGGTGAGTCATTGTGTAGTGGGTAGGTGAGTGGGTAGGTGAGTAATTGAGTAGTGGGTAGGTGAGTCATTGAGTAAGTGGGTAGGTGAGTGGGTAGGTGAGTCATTGAGTGGTGGGTAGGTGAGTCATTGAGTGAGTGGGTAGGTGAGTGGGTAGGTGAGTCATTGAGTGAGTGGGTAGGTGAGTGGGTAGGTGAGTCATTGAGTGAGTGGGTAGGTGAGTGGGTAGGTGAGTCATTGAGTGAGTGGGTAGGTGAGTGGGTAGGTGAGTCATTGAGTGAGTGGGTAGGTGAGTGGGTAGGTGAGTCATTGAGTGAGTGGGTAGGTGAGTGGGTAGGTGAGTCATTGAGTGAGTGGGTATGTGAGTGGGTAGGTGAGCGGGTAGGTGAGTCATTGAGTGAGTGGGTAGGTGAGTGGGTAGGTGAGTCATTGAGTGAGTGGGTAGGTGAGTGGGTAGGTGAGTCATTGAGTGAGTGGGTAGGTGAGTGGGTAGGTGAGTCATTGAGTGAGTGGGTAGGTGAGTGGGTAGGTGAGTGGGTAGGTGAGTAGGCGAGTATGGGGAGCGGCGGTGCAGCGATGGTTATCTGAACCGGTCATGAGCCTGCCATAGGTCAACACAGCCTCCCGTATAAACATCGCCACTGGGAAGACAAAGGCGGTCGGGCATGGTGCTGGCCACCCACCCCCTCGTGTGCCACAGTGCCGGGCTTCATAGGCGCTGTCTGCTAACAGCACTTGCCCCAACAGTCTGTTAAGGCTACACGGGGGATCTTTGTGTGTGTGTGAGTGCAGTTGCGATTTTGCGGCAGATATTATTTTAACCCTAATAAGCAATATTTCACTTTTAAAAAATGTAACATTTGTCCATTATGCATGAGTGTTCTCATGATTAAAACATATGGCTTTCAGATGTTATTTACACTTTCGTGCCATTAATATTTGAGCTGCACGCGTCTGAAGCCCGTGCAATATTGAATGACGTCCTCTATTTAACCATGCCCATGTCTCTTTACGTGTGTGTGTGTGGTTGTGTACGGTGGGGAGCGGTGGTGCAGCGGTTAGCGCTACGCTGCGGTGCTAAGCCGGCGACCCCGAGTTCGATTCCCCGCTCACGGTCACCAACGCCGGTGACGATTATCTGAACCGGGTCCTGGGCCTCCCCTAGGTCGACTCGGCCTCAAATGAGCACCTGGTGCGCTGTGTAAACATCGCCACTGGGGGAGACAAAGGCGGCCGGACGTGGGTGCTGGCCACCCACCCCGCTGCTGCTCACTAACAGCACTTGCCCCAGCAGTCTGTTACAGGCTACACGGGGGGAACTTTTGTCTTTGTTTTGTCTCCCCGGGCAGGTGATCACGCTGGAAGGCTGGGTGGACATCATGTACTACGTCATGGACGTTCACTCCTTCTACAACTTCATTTACTTCATTCTGCTCATCATCGTAAGCTGCACATCGCACTTGTGCTCACTCACCACGTGGCTTTCAGACGCGACCACATGGCTGTCACAAATGATAGCTCGACAAAGTGGCTCATCACTTTGTTCTGTCGGTGAAGTCACATAGGTAGAAGAAGTGCAAATAAAAATTAAACAACGCGACGTCTCACAAGCGGTTTTCCTTTAGAGGCTGACTCCTTTCCCGTTGCCTACCACTCGTGTTGCGATCGAAACTTCATTTAATTTTTATCATCATTTTTTTCTATCGACGTGACTTTACTGAAAGAACCATAGAACATGAATATTCCTGCAGTCACGAAAGTTTAACGTCAAAATTTAAATACGTGATGTTGATTCTAAATATTGGGGGGATAGCCGGAGGACCCGGAGAAAAATCGCGGGGAGAGAGAGAGAGACGCAGACTCCAAATATACAGCAGCAGGCGTCAGGGTCAGGATCGAACTCACGACCTCCTGCATACCAGGCGAGGTAGTTAACATCTCATAGCCACCGTGATGATGATGAGAGAGACGCAAACTCCAAATATACAGCAGCAGGCGTCAGGGTCAGGATCGAACCCACGACCTCCTGCATACCAGGCGAGGTAGTTAACATCTCCTAACCACCGTGATGATGATGATGAGAGACACGCAAACTCCAAATAGGCAGCAGGCATCGTCAGGGTCGGGATCGAACCCACGACCTCCTGCATACCAGGCGAGGTAGTTAACATCTCCTAGCCACCGTGATGATGATGAGAGAGAGACACGCAAACTCCAAATAGGCAGCAGGCATCGTCAGGGTCGGGATCGAACTCACGACCTCCTGCATACCAGGCGAGGAAGTTAACATCTAGCCACACACGCACGCACACACACAGACACACAGACATACGAACAGACGCACAATCAACGCAGAGCGCAGCCACGCTTCGGCCTCGCACCGCTCCGAGCGTCTCTCCTTCGGGCTGCGTTTCTCTGTCTCCTCTCCGCGTTGCTGTCGACGCGTTTTGATTTAAAGGGGCTGACCAAAAATATAAAAACCCGGCCTCCCCTCTTCGCCTGTCAGCCGCAATCAGCGGTGGGGGCCTCAAAGTGTTCCACCTGCGTCCCAGGGTGACCCGCCCACAATATGTGTGTGTGGCCGTGCGTATGTTCGTGCGAATGGCCGTATTTATGTTTGTGCGAATGGCCGTGTGTGTGGCCGTGTGTGTGGCTGTGTGTATGGCCATGTGGCTGTGTGTATGGCCATGTGGCCGTGTGTATGGCCATGTGGCCGTGTGTATGGCCGTGTGTGTGGCCATGCGTATGTTTGTGCGTATGGCCGTGTGTATAGCCGTGTGGCCGTGTGTGTGGCCGTGTGGCCGTGTGTGTGTGGCCGTGCGTATGTTCGTGCGAATGGCCGTATTTATGTTTGTGCGAATGGCCGTGTGTGTGGCTGTGTGTATATGGCTGTGTGTATGGCCATGTGGCCGTGTGGCCGGCTGTGTGGCCGTGTGTGTGGCTGTGTGGCCGTGTGTGTGTGGCCGTGTGGCCGTGTGGCTGTGTGGCTGTGTGTGTACAGCTGTGTGTGTGTACAGCTGTGTGTGTACAGCTGTGTGTGTACACCTGTGTGTGTGTACAGCTGTGCGTATACAGCTGTGTGTGTGTACAGCTGTGTGTGTACAGCTGTGTGTGTACAGCTGTGTTTGTGTACAGCTGTGTGTGTACAGCTGTGTATGTGTACAGCTGTGTGTGTACAGCTGTGGGTGTGTACATCTGTGTGTGTACAGCTGTGTGTGTACAGCTGTGTGTGTACATCTGTGTGTACAGCTGTGTTTACAGGTGTGTGTGTACAGCTGTGTTTGTGTACAGCTGTGTGTGTACAGCTGTGTGTGTGTACAGCTGTGTGTGTACAGCTGTGTGTGTACAGCTGTGTGTGTGTACAGCTGTGTGTGTGTACAGCTGTGTGTGTACAGCTGTGTGTACAGCTGTGTATACAGCTGTGTGTGTACAGCTGTGTGTACAGCTGTGTGTACAGCTGTGTGTGTGTGTACAGCTGTGTGTGTACAGCTGTGTGTGTACAGGTGTGTGTGTACAGCTGTGTGTGTACAGCTGTGTGTGTGTACAGGTGTGTGTGTACAGCTGTGTGTGTGTGCAGCTGTGTGTGTACAGCCGTGTGTGTGTACAGCTGTGTGGCCGTGTGGTGGTAGATGGGAGTGTAGCATCACAGCTCGTGGTGTAGCTCCCAACGTTATTGCTGGACGTGTTCTCACCGCACCGGACCAGACCCCACCACCACCACCATCACACCCAGCGTCGCTTTCGCCCCAACTTCTTATAACCTCAGTTTAACACGTAGGCTTTCACGACCAATGTAATCCTTAATAGAGGTTTTTGGGTTAGATCGCGTAAATATATAAATGTTGTGTCGTTAAAACCCGCCACCACCCGACACAGCCAACTAGTAAGGGTTGTCACGTAAACATAACGTGGCCAATTCGTCACTAGCACAGCATGCTGGTGTGTTGGAGAGCCAAGCCACAACATTTACAAACTGAGTACGACGTTTCGCCAGTAATTACACCCAGCTTCATCAGGCGACAGCCAGATTTGTGGAGAAGTCCACCTGTTTTGTTCCTTATATATAGAGGCTTAGATGTGTTGACCACGCTTCTGCACTCTTGCACAATGTAACTCCCCCCCCCCCCCCCTACATTCCGCCGTGTGCGTGACACCCCACAGGTCGGCTCCTTCTTCATGATCAACCTGTGCCTGGTGGTGATTGCCACGCAGTTCTCCGAGACCAAGCAACGTGAGTGCCAGCTGATGCGGGAGCAGCGCGCCCGCTTCCTTTCCAACGACAGCACCCTCGCTAGCTTCTCGGAGCCGGGCAGCTGCTACGAGGAGCTGCTCAAGTACGTGGGCCACGTGTACCGCAAGGCGGCTCGCCAGGCCCGCCGCGCCTACCGCGAGTGGCGCCGCCGACGGAGACGCAGGAGGAGTTTCGGCGGCGGCGGCGTCGCGAGCGCCGGGAGCGTCTGCGCCGGAGGGGAGTACGGCGTCGGCGCGGAGTACGCCGGAGGGTTTTGCTCGGCGGCGTGGGACCGGCGGCGAGGGAGGGCCGACGGCGGCGGCGCGGCCGGGGCCGCCGCCGTGGCGTTTGGCCGGAGGCGGCAGAGGCCGGCGAAGGAGTCGGCGGAGAGGAAGAGGAGGCGGCGGAGGAAGAGGATGCGCTCGATCCACCACCTGATCCATCACCACCACCACCATCACCACCACCACTACCACCTCGGCTCCGAGCAGCAGCAGAAGACGGATAAGCTCGTCGCGTTTGGCAGCGGCGTTGGCGGCGGCGGAAACGCCAACGGGAGTTCCCGGCTACTCGGGAGCGAGCTGGGAAATTTGCGCCAAGCGTGCGGCGAATGCGGCGGTTCCAACAGCGGCAGCAGCGGCGGCGGCAGCGGCGGCAGCAGCGGCGGCGGCAGCAACAACGGCGGTGGTAGCGGTGGTGGCGGTGGCGGCGGCGGCGGTAGCAGCAGCGGTTCGGCGCGTCCCTCCAACAGCCTCGTGGTGCCAGTAGGCCCGAGCCTGCAGCAGGCCTCGAGTTCGGAGTCGGTGCACAGCGTCTACCACGCGGACTGCCACCTCGACGCGCTGCCTCTCCGCCACTCGCCGGCGGCGGCCTCCCCACGCACCGAGTCGCTCCGCTCGGTGGCGCGGATGAGCGCCGCGGCCGCTGCCGCCGCCGCCGCGGCTGTGGCTCAGGCCCAGGGAGGAGGCCTCCCCGGCGGAGAGGCGCCGGCGGCGGGGGGTGCCGGCGCCGGCGCCTGTCGCGCGGTGGTGGCGGCGGCGGTGTCTGACGGAGGGAAGGAGAAGAGGGTTCAGTTGGCGCCGCCGCCGATGGATCCGTACACGAAGCTCCAGCACTTTGTGGGAGCTCGCAGTGAGTGCAGCCATTGGCTCGATCTTCCTCTCTTGTGCGTACGCATGCATGTGTGTGTGTATGTTGGTAAATTGAGCTTCTTTTGCACCGTATGTAGCCAGCCGTGATAATAATGTCGTGTATAGTGTGGTGTACAGTAGTGTATAGTCTTGTGTGTTGTGTAGTGTATAGTATAGTCTATTGTGTAGTGTATAGTGTAGTGTATTGTGTAGTGTATAGTGTAGTATATAGTGGTGTATAGTGTAGTGTATAGTCTAGTGTATCGTGTGGGGTATAGTAGTGCAGTGTAAAATCTAGTGAATTGTGTTGTGTATAGGAGGGTGTATGTATGTTGAACTTCTTTCGCACCGTGTGTAGCCAACCGCGTTGATTGGAGGTCATTATGAGACCTCCTTTGCCAGTAACAAGATATAGGAATAGGTTTTACCCTGTTAACTGGCACAAAAACTGACACCTTTATTCAAGGCATGAAGTTTGCAATAACCACGACACAAGCAGTCAAAATGCCTTGAATAAAGGTGTCAGTTTTTGTGCCAGTTAAAAGGGTAAAACCTATTCCTATGATTGGAGGTCGTTTTGGTTGTTGTTGTTTACCGAGCTGCCGTGTCCCACTGCTCTCTTGCCACGCGGTCATCACACGATGTGCCGTAGCGCCGGCAACTGCAATGCGTTGCGATTTAGGTTCAATCGCACTGAGTTGCAGTGGGACCTGCGTTTGCAATTGCATCGCGCTCTTTCAACACTGCATCGCGATTACAACGCAAAGTGCTGCGGTGCTGACTCCCACAATGCATTGGAATTAATTATAATGCATTGCATTGCGACACCTACTGGATTGGCATTGCAGTGCACTACATTGCAATGCTGCATTGAAGTAGAGTGCATTGCAATTACAGTCCAATCAAATGTGCTGCAGTTTTGCTCCCACAATGCACAGCTGCACTCCTGACATTGACTTTATAATATTTTTCTTCCGCCAATGTTATCCCGACTGATCGCCCCTTCAGCATCGTAGACCAATGCATTGTTAGAACGCGACCCTCGGGGAGGCGGATATCACACAACTGCCTCCGACCGTGTTAGGAGACGTAATTTTGCGTGACATTATGCGGTGACGTTGTCGCGTGGCGACATTGACATCATCGCACCGACGACGGGGGACGTGGGCGGCGTTGGCGATCGCCGTGCAAGGGAGCGAGCGACGTGCGAGCGATCGAGCTTCCGTGCTCTGTGACTGTGGTTCTTCTCCCCTTCCCCAGGCTCGTGCTGCGGAGGGGGGGCGCCCCCCCTCTCGGTGTCGTTTTCCGCAGGGGCGGCGCGTGGCGACGTGTTGCCCTGCAAGCTGGAGAAGTGCTCGCTGTGCGCGGAGGCCGTGTCGGCCATGCGGCGGCACGCCCAGCGGGACGATGACGACGACGACGATGACGACGACGACGACGATGACGACGACGACGACGACGACGATGACGACTTGTGTTCGGATTCGGAAAACGACGAGAACGAGAATTTCGAAGGATACAATTCGGATGTGGATCGAGACCGGCGAGAAGAGGAGGAGGAGGGGGAGGAAGAGGACGAGGTGAGGGCTTTGTGGATCCTGGCGTGCTTTGCCGGGGGTTTCTCATGCTTGTTGATCGGTCGGTAGCACGTGTTAATATAGAGAGAGGACTGCAGAGCTCAGGCCATTGCTTGTGGTGCCGGGCGGTCGCTTGTGCCACCCACTTTGTTCAGGATTTCTCACGCCTCCGAGTCGTTCTCTGTCGACGACGACGCGCAGTGGCGGCGTAGCCGTGCGCGTCGCAAGTTGTTTTTGTTTAAAGAAGGGCTAAATTAAAAAGTTAATTATTTTATTTGTGTACCAGGTGAGAGGCCACCCATTGAGCTGTTCTGTAGCTCTTTAATCAGAAGCGACCACCTGCCTATCATCATCATCGTGTGGGAACTTGTAGCAACAGCCAAAGACTGTAACATGTGTGACGTTGATTCTAAATGTGGAGGAAAAAAGCGGAGGACCCAGGTAAAAATCCACACAACCACGGGGAGACACGCGAACTCCAAATCGAGGTGATGTCAGGTTGAACCCACGAACTCCTGCATATGAGGCGAGGTAGTTAATCTCTTAGCCACCATGATGAGATGTTAGCTCCACATATACAGCAGGCGTCAGGGTCGGGATCGAACCCACAATCTCCTGCGCACCAGGTGAGGGAGTAATCATCTCACCCAGCCACTGCGGCGCTTTTTAAAACTGACTGACCCAACCGATGATCGCGACGGCGACGAGGATTTGAATTGGTGCAGTACACGTGGCGAGCAATTATCTCTGACCGTGCAAAACCCCCGATGGGCAAACCTAACAGACGGTGCTCACTTGCCGACGGACAAACATCTGGGCTCGCGAGTCCCCGTCCTCGGGGCTCGAGTCTCCACCACCCGCGAACACCGTCCTGCCGGGGGCCGCTGGCCGACTGAACAAACTCTCGCTGTCATCGCAGGCCCACGTCGCCGCACGTGGCGGTGCCGGCGCTGGCGCCGGCGAGTGCGTGTACGAGTTCACGCGCGACGTCGTGCACTCGCGCCCGCACCACGCCGGCTGGAGCTTGGGGCACTGCGGCGATCGCTCGGCGTGGGACGCGGCGGCGGCCGCGGCCGCGTCGGCGGCGGCGTCGGCCGCGGCGAGACGGCAGCGGGCGCAGCTGACGCAGCAGCAGAGGAGGAAGCGGAGGAGGAAGAGGAGGAGGCGAGGGAGAGGCGAGGAGGATGAGGAGGGCGACGGTGGCGGCGGTGCTTGCCGGCGTTGCCTGCGCGCCCTCGCGCACTGCCTCCGCAAGATCGTCGACAGCAAGTACTTCAACCGGGGCATCATGGTGGCCATCCTCATCAACACGCTCAGCATGGGCATCGAGTACCACGAGCAGGTAACCGCCGTCACCGCATCGACCTGCCTAGCGCCACCCTCGCCAACACGAGCAGGTACCACCGTCACCGCGTCTACCGGCCTAGCGCCACCCTCACCCACACGGGCGTGGTGCTATTGCTCCTTGGAGTGTGCCGGCAATGATTATCGCGTCGCGCCCAACAAGATGCCAGGCATTCCTCGGCCGCCACTCAATCACTCCCCTCCGGCCACCGAGCGCCCGCTGTCGCTGCTGCTGCCCATCGCTCACCTTTCCCTTATCCGTCCGGGTGATGGCTGTAACCTGAGTGCCTTGGGCTGTTTAATGGTCTGAAGCGAGTTATTCGCCTTAATTGAATAAGTGGAGAGGTGCGTGCTTGCATTTATTTATGTTTGCGCGCAACATTCCAGCAGGCACACCACTTGAAAGAAAAACACAAACCCCACTCCTTAAACGGTGCATTCCCTGGGGCGGCAGGTGACCCCACCGGCTCAGAGGTCAGAGGGGCTGAGTTCCCCGCTGCTCAGGGTCCTGGTGTCCAACCGTGGCTTTTGATTGCCCGGCCGTGGTTTCAACAACTCTGAGATGCTCAGATCGCCACTGCTCAGGGTCCTAGTGCTCAACCGTGGGTTTCGGTTGACCCGGCCAGAGCAATTCTACTTTGGCTCTTGAGTGCATGAGTTGATGCGTGCACGCGTACGGTAGAGAATCGCAAGAGAGATGCATAGATTCACACAGAGACCCACAGACTCACACAGAGACCCACAGACTCACATAGAGACCCATAGATTCCCACAGAGACCCATGCATTCGCATGAAGACCCATAGAATCATCTAAAGATCCATAGACTCGCATAGAGACCCAATCGACTCATATAGAGACCAATAGATTCACGTGTAACTAGTTGTCATTCTAAGTTCACGTCTTGCTACCTAACACGAGTCCCACGTTGTGTGTGCGTGCGTGTGGGGAAGTCATCAACGGCTGTCCTGCGTATAGACTCGCGCCATTCCACGGTAGAGGAATGTGGAATTTCCACCAGCGGCTGGGCGCGGCGGAGAGCATCAGACGAGCGGCAGCGCCTCGGCGGGGAGAACATTCTCTCTCTCTCTCTCTCCCCCTTGGCTTGTAGCTTTTTTTAGACGGCGGCGAATCAGAAGAGATATCGGAGCTGTCGACAGCCGCGATGTCGGGGTGGGGGGGGGTGACGGAAATTGATCGGGTGGACAACGGGTGGACAACGGGTGGACAACGGGACGTGAATCAATATTCATGGAGAGCAAGGCTCGTGGAGCCTACGTGGGCTCAGGCAAATTACTATATTTTTTTTACTGTTCTGCCACGCGTTAAACAGAGGTGGGGGTTTAGTTGTTGTTGCTGTTGTTGGGTTAGGTCGCGTGAATGTGTTGTTGTTAAATGCCGCCCTCCACCACCCGACACGGCCAGTTAGTAGAGGCGTTGTTGCGCGAGCGGAACGTGGCCAATTCATTGCCAGTTCAGCACCACACGGGCTGTGTGTTGGAGAGTAAACCCACCACAGCAATTACAATTATAGTATAGTGTATAGTGTAGTGTATAGTATAGTCTATTGTGTAGTGTATAGTGTAGTGTAGTGTATAGTGTAGTGTGTAGTGTATAGTGCAGTGTATAGTGTAGTGTTTAGTGTAGTGTATAGTGCAGTGTATAGTGTAGTGTATAGTGTAGTGTATAGTATAGTGTATAGAGTAGTGTATAGTATAGTCTATTGTGTAGTGTATAGTGTAGTGTATTGTGTAGTGTATAGTGTAGTATATAGTAGTGTGTAGTGTATAGTGTAGTGTATAGCGTAGTGTTTAGTGTAGTGTATAGTGTAGTGTATAGTATAGGGTAGTGTGTAGTGTATAGTGTAGTGTATAGTGTAATGTTTAGTGTAATGTTTAGTGTAGTGTATAGTGTAGTGTATAGTGTAGTGTATAGTGTAGTGTATAGTGTAGTGTATAGTGTAGTGACGTTTTTCTGCCAGCATCAGTGGGGTATTTAACCAGACAGATGAACCGTCCCCAGCACGGGAACGTAGAATGTCCAGCACCAGCTCGCGTCAATCTCACGGGGGAGAGAGAGACACGCGAGAGAGAGACACGAGAGAGAGAGAGAGACACACGAGAGAGAGAGAGACACGCGAGAGAGAGACACGGGAGAGAGAGAGAGAGAGACACGCGAGAGAGAGACACGAGAGAGAGAGAGACACACGAGAGAGAGAGAGACACGCGAGAGAGAGACACGGGAGAGAGAGAGAGAGAGAGACACGAGAGAGAGAGAGACACGCGAGAGAGAGACCCACGCCGTGCCGGCCTTCAAGGAGCAGTGGGCGCTGGAGGAGGCCGTGTGCTCGGTGGCAGATGACGGAGAGCTCTGCATGCAGATTTAAGCTACCCGTCGGAGTCCGTTTGACTGTGGGAAGGGCTGCGTGCAGGTGCAGCACTTGTCGTAGTTATATATATAAAAAAAGAGAGAGACAAATGGAGTAGGAAGAGAGGGGGCAGAGAGAGAGAGGGGGGCAGAGAGGGGGGTAGAGAGAGAGAGGAGAGGCAGAGAGGGGGGTAGAGAGAGAGGGAAGGGGTAAGGAGAGCAGAAAAAAATATTTTGTTGGGTCTTTCATTTCAAAGGGGGGGGGGGGGGAGTTTAGATAAAGCAAAGCATAAAAAACAAAAAAACGAAATGATGAACGGAGCAAAGTGCTGACTACACCGAGCATCTTCTTGTTTCCTCTGATCGTAAAAAAAAAGAGAGAGACACGCGAGAGAGAGAGAGAGAGGAGACGGGATTCGTTTTGCCGGGATAAACCATTTAAAGGGAATAAGACCCCGCAGCGCTTCTGGATTTCCGGATGTCATGGAGATGGATTTGGCGGTCCTGGGCTTGCGAGCGACGATCTCCGATTCGGCGCAAAGCGGTGCCCGGACAGACGGGGTCGGGGCGCCGCGCCTCCAACCATCCTCGCCCTCTGGCAGCAACACCGTAAATGTTTGTGCTAACGAGGCCCTCCCTCCCTCCATCCCTCTCTCTATATATCTAAGTATCTCTAGGAGTTTTAACGTATCTGCATGAGTTTCTATGTGTCTCGATGAGTCTCCTAGTCTCTGTGTTTCTATGAGTCTCTGAGTCTCTATTTATCTCTATGAGTTTCTACGTATCTCTATGAGTCTCTATGTATTTCTATAGTCTCTATGTATATCTACGAGTCTCTATGTATCTCTATGAGTCTCTATGTATCTCTGAGTCTCTATGAGTCTCTATGTATCTCTACGAGTCTCTATGAGTCTCTACAAGTCTCTATGAGTCTCTATGAGTCTCTATGTATCTCTATGAGTCTCTATGTATCTCTATGAGTCTCTATGTATCTCTATTATTCTCTATGTATCTCTATGTATCTCTATGAGTCTCTATAAGTCTCTATGTATCTCTATAACTTTAATTCGTGGAATGGGCCAGCCGAAGATATATAGAACACCGACAGCGCTGCCATGTGAAAGGTTCACATAGAGACCCATAGACTCCCATAGAGACCCATAGACTCACATAAAGACCCATAGACTCGCATAAAGACCCATAGACTCACATAGAGACCCATAGACCCACATAAAGACCCATAGACTCACATAGAGACCCATAGACTCACATAGAGATCTATAGACTCGCATAGAGACCCATAAACTCACACAGAGACCTATAAACTCGCATAGAGACTCATAGACTCACATAGAGAGCCATAGACTCACATAGAGACCGATAGACCCACATAAAGACCCATAGACTCACGTAGAGACCCATAGACTCACATAGAGACCTATAGACTCGCATAAAGACCCATAGACTCACATAGAGACCCATAGACCCACATAAAGACCCATAGACTCACGTAGAGACCCATAGACTCACATAGAGACCTATAGACTCGCATAGAGACCCATAAACTCACACAGAGACCTATAAACTCGCATAGAGACTCATAGACTCACATAGAGAGCCATAGACTCACATATAGACCCATAGACCCACATAAAGACCCATAGACTCACGTAGAGACCCATAGACTCACATAGAGACCTATAGACTCACATAAAGACCCATAGACTCACATAGAGACCCATAGACCCACATAAAGACCCATAGACTCACGTAGAGACCCATAGACTCACATAGAGACCTATAGACTCGCATAGAGACCCATAAACTCACACAGAGACCTATAAACTCGCATAGAGACTCATAGACTCACATAGAGAGCCATAGACTCACATAGAGACCCATAGACTCGCATAGAGACCCATAGACTCACGCAGAGATGGTGCGTCACGTGAAAACTCCATAAATCATTGTCGAGCCGGGCGGGAAATGAAACCCCACCCGTTTTGGCAGCCGAGCCTCGGCCCCACGCTTCCGAGTTCACAACCGACGGCGGCTGTCGGAGACTCCGTGCCGACACGACCGAGCTGCAATACGACGCGGCCCGAGCCCCGGGGTCTGGGAGTCGCGCATCCTCGCGTCCTGGGGCGACCGTCCTCGTCGGCGGCGGGCACGGAGCGCGAGCGTGGCCGGCGGCCTGGGTCCCTGACAGCCGGGGTCTCTGTCCTCCACAGCCGGCCGCAATGACGAATTCTGGCCTCGACATTTGGAGTACCCCCCACCCCCCCCCCCCCCCCCCTGAGCGCCCTCCCTCAGGAGGCCTCTGACCCTCCGCGTCAGAGGCCCCTCGCCCTAGAAAGGGGTCTCCGTGTCGGCGGCGATCGTGACGGCCCCCGCGAAGGGGGGCCCCGTGGTGGGTCACGATTTGGATGTCACAGCCCTCCCCCCGGCCATCGACGGACGGACAAAACGAGCTTACTCGCTCGCTCTGCGGGTGCGTCGTAGTCGGTGTATTGGTGTGGGCGATTGAAAGGGGGCCACCGGCTCAAGGCTCTCGAGCTGGCGCGAGCGATCGGGTGGTGGCGTCGGCCAGTGTATGTGTGTGTGTATGTGTGTGTGTATGTGTGTGTATGTG